TGAGATTGCAGCAGATGAGGTCCGAATTTTGGGACGCTTGAGAAAGATGGTGGAGGAACAGGGGGAGAATGAAGAGATTTTGCAGACCAAGATCATCTCTCCCAAGGAGGTTCTTCGAAACTGGAGTGAGTGGGAACCTTCCATCAGAAGTGAGGTGGAATCTTTGACGGTGGAGAAGTCAGCTCTGAAGCCCTTGACGAAGGCAGAAGTTGAGGAGTTGAAGCTTCAAGCACAGAAAGAGGGGAAGAAGTTGGAAATCTTGCCCTCCAAGATGGTGTTTACGATCAAGCCAGGTGGGAAGTTGAAGAGCAGGTGGGTTGTCTGTGGGAACTATGAGGAGAAAAAGGAGGGGGAAGAGACGGTGCAGACGCGACCACTTTGCGTCTTTTGGTTTGGACGTCAACAAAGATGGGTTGGTGTGGATGTGTGCTTGATGTGCGCACGGCGTTTTTGAATGCTGAGATGGAGCAGTCGCCTGAGGAGGATTTGCTGCTGATTCAGGCTCCACATGTTCTGAGAGAGGCCAAGTTTTTCAAAGGAGAAGCACTTTTTCTGCCATTGAGGGCGGTTTATGGGTTTCGAAGATCTCCAAGGCTGTGGGGACTGCACCGTGACCGAACCATGAGAGACATGAAGATTTCGGTGGTGTTAGACGGCAGAAAGGAGATGCTGGTCTTGAAACAGATGGAGTCTGAGCAGAACCTTTGGAAGGTGGTTGTTTTGAGAAAGGGCTTTCAAGAAGATTTGGAGGATGAGTTTGTCTCCAATGGCCGGGTGGTTGGACTGGTCATGACGTATGTGGATGACATCCTGATCACCGGCAGGAGGGAGGTCATGGAGTCAGTGACACAGCAGCTTCAACAGACCTGGAGCACCTCAGTTCCAGAAGAGATCAGAGAAAAGCCAGTCAGATTCCTGGGCATTGAGATCACCCGTTGTTTGGCAGAGGGGGAGGAGAGAACGCATTGGAGTCTGAATCAACAGGCTTACATCAGAGATCTTCTTGGAAGGTATGAGGATGGAGAGAAGGTGAGAAAGATTCCCATCACAAGGGATCAAGCTGCCATGAGTCAGGACGTGACCACACCGACACCAGAAGGGGTCAAGTCATGTCAGAAGGTCATTGGAGAGCTGCTCTGGTTAGTCACTCGTACACGACCAGACCTGATGTTTGGAGTTCTCAAGTCCACTCATGCCATACAAGAGACAGCCAAGCAGATGAGGCTGTATTTGAAGGCCACTTTGGAAGAGGGATTGAGGTTTGAGGAAAGACCGGAAGACCCAATCAACCTGTACGTCTACTCAGACTCAAGCTTTGCCCCGGAGTCAGATGAGTCGCATGGGTCTTTCATTGTTTTGGCCAATGGAAGTTCAATGTTTTGGAGAAGTGGCCGCCAATCTGCGGTGACCTTGAGCACGGCAGAGTCGGAGCTCACGGAACTGGTGGAGGCGATGGTGGCGGGCGAGTCAGTCTATGCCATCATCTCGGAGTTGTTTGCCGAGGTCAACCGCATCGCACTTTGCGATTCTCAAGCTGCTTTGGCGATCCTTTTGGCAGAAGGAGGGAGCTGGCGCACCAGACATTTGCGCCTGCGTTGGTCATTTGCGAGGCAGGCAGTCTTGAGGGGTGATTGGCAGGTTGGTCACGTGCCTGGAGAGCGCATGATAGCAGACATCGGAACCAAAGCTCTGGCATCGACGCGACTGGAGCTTCTCAAAGAAATGCTCGGCATGAAAAAGACTGGGCATGTGGAAGTTGAGGATGCAGGAAAGAATGAAGAGAAGGGGAAGAAGATCCCTTCACAGCCACAGGGACCAGAAGTTGCCACTTTGGCTTTGCGGCTGATCACTTTAGCAGCCACTTTGCAGATGTCAAAAGCCATGGATGATGAAGAGGAAGAATCTTCAGCCGAATTCAATCAGCTGATGATGATCTACACCATTTTGGTTGTGATGGCCACCTTGGGTCTTCAAGCTTTGTGGAAGGTAGGAGTAAGCTCAGCCTGCAGTAGCTTGAGGAATTGGTTGCTTGGCGGCGAGGGCCGAAGTCTCCCTGCGGAGCCTGAAGAACCTGAGGTCAGAAGGCCAAACATTGAGGAGTTGACGACATCAATGGGCCGCGCTGAGGATGGGTCGGGGAGAGGAGCCCTGGTCCAGCTCGCGCAGGCCGGCTGGAGGCACGCTGTAGGTTCCTACGCTGTAGATGCTACAGCTGTGCCCGGCCTTGGTGGAGACCCACCACTGAGCCGCGCTGAGGACGGGTCGGGACAGAGGGTCCTGGTCCAGCTCGCGCAGGCTAGCCCAGGGCTTGCTGTAGAGGAGACAGCTTTGCCCGGGCCAACACAAAATGTGAGGAGCGACGCCTCACTTGGCCAAGCTGGCCCAAGCACAGAGCCGTCGTCAAGCTCTGGAAGTGGAGAGACATCAGATAGCATGGCTGAAAGAATCGAAGCCACCATCAGAACGATTGCAGAGGAAGAGGTTGAGCTGTGGAGAGAGTACGGAAGGATGGGTCATTTTCCGTACGTCAATGAAAATCATCAAGATGCAGACCTGGGCTTTGACGTGTTCAGGACACCATGTGGAACTGTTTATCATTCAACTCGGGCCTGCACCGAATTGAAGGGTCCGAGAACTGGATTTGCGAGAAAGTTTTCATGGTGTGAACTCTGTAAGGAGGTGGGGATGCGAACGCGAGGACGTCCACCACCAGGATCTCCACTGCTCTTGCTGACATCGGGTCAGACTCTTCACACAGACGCCAGATGCCCGAGAACTGAAAACACCTCTGAGTTTCGCGGGTGCATGTACTGCACTGATTTTCCAGGATAGGCAGTTTGAGCTTGTGACTGTGCCCTGACGGACCAGTCAAGGGGGGGTGCAGAAAGCACAAACCATTTTTAGCATTTCATGTAGCATTTGATTTCATGTGCAGATAGATTTGCATGCATGTTCAACTGTCCAGATTTGCAGCACTGCAGCTGCCTTTTTTCCAGCTCAAATTCGAAGACTTTCGAGTCGCCGACGAAAAGAAGGAGAAGGTGCGATCTTTGGAGGACGAGGCTTGGATTTGGGCACCTGGTGTTTTCCAATAAGAAACACTGTAATTAGCGGTGTCTTGGCCACTTTTGGACACCGAAACGCTGGTATTTACGCAGTTTTTTGCCCGTGACGGCGCCAAACCCTTGTAAATTACAGCATTTTTTGCACTTTTTGGACCGATTGTTTGTCTTGATGAACGCAAAAAAACGCTGGTATTTACGTGTTTTTTCCAAAAATCGAAGATCGTGACGTGAGCGAAACCCTATAAATAGCAGTGTTTTATCCACTTTCAAGGACTAAAACTGTGGTATTTACGCGGGTTCTTGCCATCTGACAGCGCAAAATGCTGTAAATTACAGCACTTTGTGCGCTGTTTATGTTCAATTTTTAAACGAGCGGTGCTTTCACATGTTCTTGGCATTCTTCAACAAGAAACGACGTTACAGATTGAAACTAGACGACAGTGTGGCCCAAAAGAAAAAGCTGGAGGGAGGAGACGATGGAGACGAGAAGATAGCACACAAGAAAATATGATGATGAATGCTGCTGGTGCGGAGCTTTCACACAGACGCGTTTGCACACAGAAGCTTTTACACACACGGGGGCTTTTACACAGAGAAGTTTTTACACAGAGCGGCTCTTAGACACAGAGGCTTTTACACAGAGAAGTCTTTATACAGACTGGCTTCCACAGAAGCTTTTACACAAAGAGAAGTCTTTACACAGAGGAGCTTTTACGCACAAAAGCTTTCACACAGAAAAGTGATTACACAGAGAGCTTTTACGCACAGACTCGTTTGCACACACAAGCGTTTACACAAAGAAGCCTTTACACAGAGGAGCTTTTGCACACAAGGGCATTTACACACAGAAGCTGTTACACACAGACGCTGTTTCACAAAGAAGTCTTCACACAGAGAGCTTTAACACACAGGCGCGTTTACAGACAGGAACTTTTACTGCAGAAAGAAGTCTTTGCAGAGAGAGCTTTTGCACACGGAAGCTTTCACACACAGAAGTTTTTACACAGAGAAGTATTTACAAGCTTTTACACCCAGAAGCTTTTACACACAAGCGCGTTTACTCACAGAAGCTGTTACACACACAGACGCTGTTGCACAAAGAAGTCTTTACACAGAGAGCTTTAACACACAGGCGCGTTTACACACAGAAACTTTCCCACAGAGAAGTCTTTACACAGAGAGCTTTTACAGAATGAAGCTTTCACACACAGAAGTTTTTACACAGAGAAGCCTTTACTCAGAGAAGCTTTTACACACAGGCGCGTTTACACACAGAAGTTTTTACACAGAGAAGTCTTTGCACAGAGAAGCTTTCACACGCAGAAGCTTTGACGTACAAAAGCTTTTACACGAGAAGTATTTACACAGAGAAGCTTTTACACGCAGAAGCTTTTACACGCAGAAGCTTTTACACAGAGAAGTCTTTACACAGAGGCGCTTTTACACGAAGTGGAAAGGTGAAATTGGCAGCAATTCTTTAGGAAAAAACCCTTCGCAGGAGCTTTCGGGAACAAGCCTTCCCCACTTGCTCCAAGAAAGAAACCGCAGTTCCATGATTCCATGAACATGATCAAAAAAGCATAAGGAATATATTTCTGAAGCAGCAGGTCCTCATTCAATAGCTTTCAAGCCCACCCTGTGATGAAATCGAGGGTCAAGTAATCCGGCGGAGCCGACGATGAGCGTCAGTTCTAAAAATAAAGTATACCAACATTAAATAACATCATCAAATGGTGTGAAACTCAATCATGGTGGTTTGTTCTCTTCGTTTTGAAAGCAATATTTGTGACTCGGTCACTCACGGCCAACAGTACGTATTAAAAAATATACTTCTATGTCTATGTCTATGTCTATGTACTCAAAACAAATCCGGTTCGCGCCCTTCTACTTTCAGATTGGCAGCGGATGTTTCTCTCCCCGCTATTTCTGAGCTAGCTAAGTATTCGATCCAAAGATCGTTGCAAATGAGCACTGAGTCCCGACCCCTGCCTCCTCTTTGTGGCGATGCCAATCCAGTCCAGACTTTTCCACGGTGTTCAGTTCCTTATCTCTGGAAATACCCAAGAGCTTATCAAGCGCTGTAAGTCCTCCACCAAGCTTCGCGCTGTTGCGGCGCTTTTGACTCTGGAGGTAACGCTTTTCCTCCACCGAACCAGGTACCAGTCTTCGTTCAATGGTCAAGGTCTGACCCGCGAACCGAACCGATTCTTGGACGATGGTGGCTTTCAACATCTTGGTTTCGGTACTTGCACCAGACGTGGAAAGAGCCTCACGGGAGAATCGAACTTTCTTCTTCATCTCAGCAGCTGATGGTATTTCTGAGCCATCTGCAGATCCGCAGTACTTGGAGACCTCCTGCAACATTTCCTTCCTGCTGATTCTTGAGCTTCCACGGATAGTCAAAGTTGTTGTCCCATCCCGTGCCTTGTGTTTCCTTAGCAGCAAATTTCTAGCACACAAATTGACACCAAGAAGAATTGGACTACCTGACTACCCGGTGAAACAGCATTCTGACTTCAAAGAGATACTGGATCAAAAGGCACAAGCAACATCACTCACCTAGCCATACCTAGCCATGAAATTTGTGATTACAGTAGGTGCTACTTAGCCATATATCGGAAGCAGCCTTGTTCCCAACACGACGCATAGTCTTAAATCCGTCGCTCTTTCACATTGTTCACAGCGGTCACCACTTTCAGAAATCATCAAAGGCAGGCACGAGGAGAGTCTGCGCTGGCAAACATGACCCACGAAACCCAACAAAAGCATGCTAAAGCTTACTATATTGTGCCAATCTCTGCCAAAGCCTCATTTCCTTGGCCGTGGGCTGCTCCTGGCCTTCGATAGCCACAGGGCTATATTTTGCCACTTCGGCCAGAATTGCATTGGGCTTTTGCGGTGAGTCCTTTGTCTCGTGTCTAAGACTTCTTCGTTGAAAGCTTCGGAACCTTCAGCTTCAGAAAAATGCACAGGCCAGACACACAATACTAACTCAATACTATCTCATAATCTGTCTTTCAAGTAAAATCAGAATGGACAGAAAGTGCCATCGGCCATCATCAACTCTCCACTCCATGCAGCCAAGGAAACAATCCAGGGTCAGGGCAGGGTCTTTTTATCCAACTCTTGGCAGATTCCATCTCATCCTGCTGCATTTCCTTCCACAAATCGTCAGTGCTTTTGTGTCGCTTGCGTCTCCTTCGGCGTTCCGAAGATGGCTCGGCGCCTGTGTCTGCGGGCTCATCAATGCCTCCAGGAACCTCAAAGTCTTCATCTTCATGGTCCGAGTCTGGAAAATTTGCATTGGCGATGGTCACCATGGGGGCACAAGAGTAGTGAACCCGAAAGATAGTGGTGAGTATATTTTTATATATTTTGCAATATCCGTCAATATCCTACAATGTGGTTGCCTGTCATCATACTAACACTGTGCAATACCCTGACCAAGCTGCAGTGACTTGTGCTTTGGTAATGTGCATCTACATCTCACTAAGCATGTGCATGATCCAAATTGATCCAATAGCGAACCTCAAACTCTTCATCAGTGAAGGGCTACTAATTTTATATCAAAGCCTTGGAATTCAGACTGCCTTCTCTTGTTGGGTGGTCCTTTGTGCTGCGATGTGTCAGGATCTACTCAGCTGTTCTCAATGGAGAGGAGATGCTGCGAGGCAGCCAGATCTTCAAACATCATGGCAAAGAATGAAAATCCATGCATTTCCATGCATTTCCACACTGAGCATTGTGTCTCTTTGTGTCTCTATCACAGTTCGGAAAGTTTCATGCTTGCAATGCTTGCAATGCTGGCTGACCTTGCCTTGTCCCAGGCTTTCTGACACCATTTGTCGCATCCAAACCATCCCTTCCTCTGATAATAGACAGCTTCAGCTTTCCTTCAGTGTTGGCGCTGAGCATCAATGAACAAATCCAGGGTCTTGTTGTGTTATAGTCAAGCAACCTAGAAAGTTTGCACGTAAGCAGAGCTCAATTTGACCCATGTTACAATGAAAGCCATAGAAACAGCGAAAAATCGGGTGTGCCAAGATGTGCCAAGCATCGCAAGCTCCACTCCAGCTCGCTGACCCAAATCTCGGCTGTCAATGAGCTCTGCTTGTTGGAGCAAATGGCTGTACCTTGGCGAATGAGTTCTGATTCTGAACCACAGGATATCACAGGATGCCATACTCGGTCACATGTCATAATGGGCTAAGTATGGCTAAGTATAGCGGCACAATGGGCTGGTGCCTCTGGTGCAGCAATGCCCTGTGGTACAGCAAGGCCAACAAGAACCATAGGATGTGTCCAAAGGATGTGTCCGCATTTCTTGAGCGCGCATTGGTTTGCAAAAGTCAAGAGCAGGCAAATTTGCCAAGTCAAGCAAGTGCAAACCAAAGCCATGCCACGCATTGTAAAACAAAATCAAAGTTCCAGTATTCAATCGCATTTTGGCTTTTTTGTCACTAAAAGAAAGAGTAGTGGTATGCAAACCAATAGATCCAATAATAGTAAACCCTACGCATGTTATGTGCCCTGGCCACAATAACCACGGTAATTACACCCCAACTCTGTCTCGGGTGACGGGTGATCAATTGCATGGTGACCCGGCAATCAGTAGAAGAGTTTTGGGATGACAATGACATATTGATGGTGGCTTATGTTATCTTGTGATATCTTGTGATGGCTTATGAACATGTCCCATAATCTCTCCATACGCGTGGCGCCCAAGGGACGCTTCTTCTGACGTTGCATCTACGGGCAGACCTCCTGCGAAAGCAGCGATCAGCAGTCCCAAGATCCAGAAGGAGGCCAGAACTGGACGATGCTGCACAAAGCCCTGGCAGGATTAATCAACAAGTTGATCCAATGTGCTCAATCATCATTCTCATATATATCATATATTAGGATTTCATGATATTATGTAATTTTGAATGTAATGGTCATAGTGTCATAGTTCATAATGTATTAAATTACGTCCGTATATTAAATTATCATATCACATTCATCGAATATTATACATGAGTGATATTGAGTGATCATCTAGAAAATCCAACCAACAGAAACACGCTTTGCAGCCTACCTTTCCTGGAGAATATTGAGGTTTGTTGGAAGATGCAAAGCATTGCCTTAACAGCGCTGACAGCAATAGCAGGCACATCCATATCGATCCATTTCTGGAGCGCTTCCGACTTCTCTTCACGCCCTCGGCTCACATGGCTTATTCCAACTGGCAGTTCAGTCGTATTCAGTGATAATTACCTCTGTCATCTTACTTGAAAGATTCAGGGTCTGGGATTCCCCTGAAAAGACGTGTGATGTAACGTGTGATACGGCAAACACTGCCGTCAGCATTGATGGCGTCAAACATGTTCTCTTGTAAAATGATGTAACATGTTAGATGTGTTTATCAATTGCACACACACCTGCAGGCAACGCAACAATTTTGAGATATTCCTTTGTGCTCATGTGAGCAGCTGGAGATGACTGGTTCATACTGGTTCTTTTTTTCTTCAGTGACCTGTCATTTCACGAGTATCCTGAGTCTCCCTCAACACCTCACAAGTCCACTACTAAGATATATTTCCTGGGTGCATGTGTGGACTAGTTTCAGATCATTCATACCCTCGGGTCCCCTAGGTTGAAAGAGATCTCAATAAAACATTCAAACAAATCACAGCAAATGACATGGTCCTGAATACTTGAATGCGAGGTGCCGTAGTGCACATTGGGAGCTCGACGAATTTCCTGAGCACAACCAAGTCACAATACGATGGCTATTGGAGACCGAACATGACCGAACAAAAGTTTACACTTCATTCACTTCAAAGCAAAAAAAAAAACGCCTCTTCCGAAGACGCAACACCCAACCCACCATTTAGACACCTCGTATCATTCCGGAACAAACACGGTTGTTTTGCCGCCAGGAACAACCAGCAACGTGTCGAGACTCTGTTCCCATCATGGTTTCAGCAAAGAGCCGCAGAGGCGAAGAAAAGGCTGATGCAGGGCTAACTCAACCAACATGCTTGTGTCAGCTTGTTTCTTCTCTTGTGCTTCTTTGGTTGCACACTCTTCTCAGTCACATCAAAAGTAGCGCTTGATAAGACTGTCTTTATGAGTATGATGTCACTTATGATGTCACCAATGTTGTTCTTTCATGAAGCTACAGTAGCTTGAACACACTGAGCAAAATCGAAGATTCATCAAAGTTGGAAGGGTTTCGTCTCTCGGGTCACAATTGATCTCCAACAAGCTAAGCTGCAAAACAACGAACAACACTCCGGACATTCCCATTGCTAACGCGCTCTCACGATTCCCTTATCCGCATTTATCCACTTTTTTTTTATCAGCGCAGTCAATGGCATTTCACTTGCCAAAGTCTTTCCAAGTGTTTCTTCTCAGTCGAAAGCTGCTCCGCTGTTCGGGCAAATCCTGGCGCTGGCTTCGCAATTGACTCTGACTTGTGTGCAGAATATGTCGCACTACAATATACTACAATATGCTACTAGACAATCTGCTGACAGCGACATTTCAACCGTCTCTGGTCCAATCGGTTGAGCGAAGGCTTGCTCAGCTGCTTTATGCCTTTTAAGTCCTTCTAAATACAGTGAGAGCTAGATTTGAGGCGCAACCTTTCATTGGGCAGAATAGTTCAGACCCGTGCGCGCCTTTGACAGGTCACTTTATTAACATTGAAGCGTTGGACCTTAGTCGATGCGTAAACTGTGTAGGTACTGTACAAGGCATGCAAATACAAATACACACACACAAAGACATCCACACAAAGCATCTCCATGAATCAGCTTAGAAAATGAATGATTACTGGAGGTTGCCCACCCCCACCCTGCTACTGTAGTATTTACATGTATTTACTACATGGGTGCAGAGCAGGTTCAAATGGCCAAAATGCAGTAGGAACATGTAGGAACCACAATGTCATATCGCGGCACAAAAGCACAAACAACAAAACCAGCATCTCCAAGCATTGGATTTGAAAGACTACAACGCATAAACACAAATGGAGAAGCAAGTGGTCGGCGATCTCACAATGATTGCGGGACAAGAAGACGCATTGACAACACTAGTCAATGTATGGTTTGGCCCTTCATCTAGTGTTGCGCGGCAAGGAAGACCTCTCATATTTGTTCAGAGTTAGGAGTCACACTAACTATTGACTAATGCAACAGCAAAATAGTGCGATGCTGCGATGCAATACACAGCACAAATATGCAGAAACAAAGAGCAGCAGCTCTGCTATGCTCTGCTGCCCTGCGCGGCTGTTCATTTTTGCATGGCTTGTAGACGGCCAAGTTTCAAAGAACGACCAGCGTGGACGTGATCGTGTTGATCGATTCATATGAACACCACGACAATCAATCAAACTTGTCGGCCAAGATTCATTTGCCCAAAATATTTGTGAGGCCGCGTTGTAAATGCGTTGATCAAAGGGGTCCTGCAAATGTGCCCAGAAGCAGGCGCTGTCAAATTCGTGCCTCTCCAGTGTGGGAAACAAATCCGTTTGAGCAAGCTGCTATGTTCAAACAGCACAGCCGCAGCACATTTTTTTGGATGACTATGACTAGGGATGCCTCTCCATCGTTTCAAGGGCATGGTTATCTTCAAGACTACGTCCCTGCCCCAGACAGTCCTCAAAGCCGTCCAACTGTTGGGTGAAATTCTGAGCAGTGAATCCGTGACGTGATCGAATGTGATTGGGTCACACTGAGAGAACGATTCCAAAATTCTTGGCTTTGATTGAATGAAGCTCCAAAACAATTTTAAGTTCAACTCTGGGCACGTGAAAACACACACATATCCTGTAATATACTGAAATGGAAGCAATAATGGTAGCAAACAGTGGAGCATAGTGGAGCAACACGCCTGCCGATAGCGGGCTGGGCGCATGTTGACGAACCTTTGCTGGTGATGTGGAGTCCATGGAGCTGAATTGGATCTTGAGACCCTCGTTGGGACCCTGGTTCTGGGACAAGACATGACTGGAACTTGCTGCCAAGTCAACTCTACCGGATAGCAGTCTCCACCAAACATGGCCTGGGTGCGAAATCAAGCAGTTTTCCCTCTGCTCTGCCCTTCTGCTAGCCGACAGAGTAGCTCTGAATGCTACAAGAAGCCTATAGAAGCCTAGCCTATAGAAGCCTATCATTTGTCAAAGGCCAAATGAACTTCTTGATCATTGTTGGACCTCTCATCTACACTTGGAAGAGATTCATTGCGGCCAGCCAGCTTCCGACGCGTTTTAACTCTAGGAGAGACAAAGACATCAAATAAAGAGCGGAATGGACGAGTTCCTCTCAGTTGTTTTTCATCGATGCAGTGAGTATTCTTCCGAGGCACGTGAAAAAGGCAAACTGAGAGATCGAAATGATCTGTGAGGCCCACAAATGCAAAACCATCCAACCTGACATGATCATCAAGATCTTCAAGTACACAACCGCAAAGACTATATAGACTAGAGACGACTAAAGCCCTTGAGAAGGCCTAAGAAAACACCCTACGCAAGTCCATTGAGTCCATTGTGAAAGCATGCAATGTCATAGGACGGTACTTGCCACTTGGTGAATTGCAGGAAATTGCAAACCATGATTGAACTGCTGGCGGCCCCAGCTTTCTCCAGCGTCAATCTTTGTAGACGTGGCTTCGGAAACTGTTTAGATATGTTGCGTTCTGGTACTTGTAATTCAGATAATGCTGGAGGAATGATCGCGTCACTTCTACTTCTACTCCGTTTTTGTGACGCAGCGGATCATTATCTGCAACGGAGCTTACTGTAGTGCAGATCAGATTCTAGTAAAAATCATTGCAAGGAAAGCCAAATGGGTCCCTATCAATGGCCTACAACTATTGGTGCAGCACCTCCATATGTTGTACTGAACATGTCCCCAGGCCCATGTTCTGCATACCATCCTCACTGCAGTGACCGGAATCTCCAACACAACAACTCTGTGACTAGGTATTGCTCTAATCTCCGTACCAAGCATAGTAAAATTATATAGTAGCTTCCGGTAATTTCCCGTACATTCCCATACCATTGCAGACTTACAATTTCTGTCAATTTCTATTTAAATCGCTGCAGACTCCTATCAATCCACACAGTTTTTACAGGAGATGACAGGTTCCTAGAGTATGATGTATGATTGATTGACTATGGTAACGATCCTAGGCGACTTTGGTGATTGATGCATCCTCTCCAAGCAAAACTGGCACAAAGACTTGGAAGTTCAACTGGATCCTGGATGGTTCTGGAGCACTAGGGCCACACATGGCCACACTTGAGGGTTTCAGATGTTTCAGACTAAGCATCCTTTGCATCCCAAACAATGAGCTGACAGGCAGTGATCCCGCAAACCAGCCTCGAAATAGCTTTTGCCACTTGTGCTTCAGTTGGTAAGGACATGCATCCCTTGCAGTAATCAGACTCACCTGAAGGGCAAACAATAGACTCACAAATTGTTATGACAGTGCAAGAAGTCTGCATGGAAACAGAATAGCCAAGATCAGATCATCCAGCCACGCACATCACGAAATACATCACGAATGAACATGCCAGGTCCGTTTGAATTATATATACTTTTAGAAACAACGTGCCTGACTGAGAAGACTTCTTAGAATAATTTCAAAACATGATCTATTTTCAATCAGCAATGAGCATCTTAGACATTGTATGACATTGTCCTCATTTGTCCTCCCTGGTGGATTCGTCCATGTTTCTGAACATTGTCAACTGATTTCTTAGCTTGAGGTTGTGGCAACCTGGGTCCATCTCCATGGATGGCCATCTCAGCTCAAATCCGGCTGACCGAGTTCAAAGCTTCAGTACAGGCAGCAAACATCAGTCCGTAGCAAATCTTAATAAGCCTTTGTGATCTTTAATGATCTTTAATTATATAATATTATATATCTTTATATTTATCTTGATGATCCTTAAGCTTGCCTAGCTCACTCCAAACGAAACCTTTGGCTTTACTACAGTAGCTCTTTAAGGTGCTGACCTAAACTCACAGCCAATGGATGCCTTCCCATCCTCTCCAGAGAGCATCATAGTCCTCAACAGCTTCCAAACATGGCGGAGGAATGCACGTATCATATTTCATTTCTGTACAACCAATCAAATGTCACAATCCGTGTGCGAGGAAATTAAACTTCCTAGCAAACAATGTTGCGCCAATGAGTGATAGTCTGAGGGTGTTCTAGAGCCCCACTGTCTTTCAACCAAAGCATCCAAATGTCCTTCACTTATCCGCGCAACAACTTGATCATTTGCAAATTGAAACCGGAGAAAAGAACCAATCTCTGGAAAGAATAACTGAAAACCCGATGACAATCTAAGTAGAATCATTTCAGTATTGT